TGTATGTGCATATGTGCGCTCAGGTGTATGAAACCTCAATTGACATTTGTATTATTTATCATAACTCCGATTAAGTAAAACAGGATTCACTTTTGGTTAAGTTAAGGATGATTTTGATGTATAATTAGGCAAGGACTTATTTGCACAAATCAAATCTCACAACTTCAAGACAATTATCCTCTTTCGGTTACCTGTGAGGTCAAATCTTTTTTAGAATTAGTCAAAATCCAGTTTTTATCCTCATAAACACGAATTGTCTGAGACCCGGACAGATGGGAAGACTGAAGAAGATTGATAGAAATGGAATTACATCCAAGTCATCATGTAGGCAGGTATCAGCCAAAAGGACTGAAAAGTATATTTCCGAGAAAGGCTATTCAGCTTAGAGGGAAAATCGACACTTACCGATGCTGGTATCTGCCAGAAGGTAGGAGTCCATTACAAACTGACTGAGAGCAATTGGTGAGAAGACCATGCGCAGGTGGAGTGGCGATCAGGCCGGTTGAGCCGGGCTCGGTCTGGCTGTTGTGCCTGGTAATCACAGCCCCACTGTCTGAAGATGAATTGGCGTTGTTTTCAGTCGCCAAGGGGATCCCGGTCACTGTAGTCGTGACTCTGACTGCTGACGGTGTTGCCTTGTTTGCCGCTACCGCAAAGGGCCGTGACGGAGGCGAGGTTGATACAGCTGCCTCCGGACTAAAGATCGGCTGAGTAGTGGAGGCAAGGGAGGAAGAGTGTGGAGAAAGAGGAGTTGGTGAAGAAGAGGAGGGGGAGGGGGATACAGAGGAGGCGGAAGAGAATGAGGAAGAGGTAGAGGAGGAGGAGGAGGAAGAAGATGAGGAAGAGGAGGACTTGAAACGTTCACTCTCAGAGCCCGACTGATCTACGGTTGAATGTGGCAGGACAGTCGTCGAGGAGCCTGCAGTGGAATTGGTGGAAAAGGTGGCAGTATTCGGAGCACTGCACATCGTGGACGACGGCGAAGGCGGAGATGAAGAAACAGCTGGTGACGAGTTGGCCGTGTTACTTGAACTGGGCGCCGAGGAGAAGAAGACAGAAGGTGATTTGGGCACGGAGGTGGCAGACGAGGAAAGTACAGAGGATGAAGAAT